ATCAATGGATCAATGAAGAAATCAAAGAGGAAGTAAAACACACATGGAAACAAATGAAAATGAAAAAACAATAATCCATTATCTCTGGGATACAGCAAAAGCTGTTCTAGGGGGGAAATTTATAGCACTACAGGCCTACCTTAAACAAGAAAAACCTTGAATAAACAATCTAACCTTATTCCTAAAGGAACTAGAAAAAGACGACACACAAAGCCAAAGCCTAAAGCTAGTAAAAGGAAGAAGATAAAAAAGACCAGAAGGGAAATAAATGAATACACGCTTAAAAAAAAAAAACAAAAAACAGAAAAGATCAATAAAGCCAAGAGATGGTTCTTTGAAAAGATATATAAATCTGATAAACCTTTAGCCTGACTCATCAAGAGAAAAAGGGAGGACTCAAATAAATAAAACCAGAAATTAAAAAAAAGTAACAACAGACACCACAGAAATACAAATAATTGTAAAAGACTACAAAAAATTGTACGCCAAAATATCAGACGACTTAGAAGAAATGACTAAGTTTCTAGAAACATAATTTTCCTAAACTGAATCAGGAAGAAACAGAAAATCTGAACAAACCAATTACTAGCAACAAAATTGAATTAGTAATCAAAAAACTCAACAAACAAAAGTTCAGGACCAGATGGATTTACAGATGAATTCTACCAAACATTTATTTTTTTTAATGTTTATTTATTTCTTTTGAGAGAGAGCATGCATGCACATGCACAAGTTGGGGAAGGGCAGAGAGAGAAAACCCCAAGCAGGCTATGTGCTATCAGTGCAAAGCCTGACACAGGGCTCAATCTCACCAACCATGAGGTCATGACTTGAGCCAAAATCAAGAGACAGATATTTAACTGACTGAGCCACCAGGCACCCCTGAATTCCACCAAACATTTAAAGAAAAGTTAATACCTAGTCTCCTCAAACTGTGCTAAAACAGAAGAGGAAGGAAAGCTTCCAAATACATTCTACAAGGCCAGCAAAACCAAAGCACTCCAGAAAGAAAACCATAGGCCAATATTCCTGATGAACACAGATACAAAGAGCCCTCAGCACAACAGTAGTATACCATATTAAACAGTACATTAAAAGGATTATTTACCACAATCAAATGGGATTTATTCTGGGGATGCAAGGATGGTTCACTGTCTGCAAACCAATCAACATGATACACATTAATAAAATAAAGGATAAAAAATCATATCATCTCAATAGATGCAGAAAAAGCATTTTATAAAATTTAACATCCATTCATGATAAAAATTCTCAACTAAGTGGGTTTAGAGGGAACATACCTCACCACAATGAAGCCTATATATAGCAAACACACACCTAATATCACCCTCAATGGTGAAAAATTGAGTTTTTTCTCTAAGATTAGAAACAAGACAAAGATGTCCACTCTCATCAGTTTTATTCAACATAGTACTTGGAAGTCCTAGCCACAACAAGCAGACAAAAAGAAATAAAAGGCATCCAAATTGGTAAGGAAACCATAAAACTGTCACTGTTTGCAGATGACATGATACTATACATAGAAAACCCTAAATACTCCACCAAAAACTACTAGAAGTACTAAATGAACTCAGGAAAGTTACAGGATGCAAAATTAATATACAGAAATCTGTTGCATTATATTACAACTAATAATAACAAAGTAGCAGAAGGAGAAATTAAGAAAATAATTCTATTTGATGCACCCTGGGTGGCTTAGTCAGTTAAGTGTCCAACCCTTGATTTTGGCTCAAGGCATGATCTCACAGTTCATAAGTTCAAGCCCTGTGTCGGGCTCTGCACTGACAGTGTGGAGCCTGCGTAGGATTCTCTCTCTCTCTCCTTGTCTCTCTGCCCCTCCCCCACCCCCAATGTGTGTGTGTGTGTCTCTCTCTCTCTCTCTCTCTCTCTCTCTCTCAAATAAATAAAACTGAAAAAAAAATGTTTAAAAAGAAAACAAATCCATTTATAGTTACACCAAAAAGAATACTTGGGAATAAATTTAAGCAAGGAGGTAAAAGACCTGTACTCTGAAAATTATAAAACAATGATCAAAGATATTGAAGATGACACAAACAATGGAAAGATACACCATACTCATGGACTGAAAGAACCAATAGTGTTAAAATGTACATACTAACCAAACCAATTTACAGATTCAATGCAATCCCTATCAACATACCAACAGCATTTTTCACACAACTAGAACAAATAATCCTAAAATTTGTATGGAACCATAAAAGAACCTAAATAGGCAAAGCAATCTTGAGAAAGAACAGAGATGGGGGTATCACAATCCCAGATTTCAAAACATATTACAAAGCTATAATAATCAAAACGGTACGGGACTGAGACAAAAATAGATCCATGGAGAATAGAGCCCAGAAACAAACCCATGCTTATATGGTCAATTAGTCTATGACAAAGGAGGCAAAAACACACAATGGGGGAAGACAGTCTCTTCAATAAATGGTGCTGGGAAAACTGGACAGCTACATGAAAAATAAGAAACTGGACCACTTTCTGACACCATACACAAAAATAAACCCTAAGTGGGGTGCCTGGCTGGCTCAACTGGTAGAGCATACTATGCCTGATCTTGGGGTTATGAGTTCAAGCCCCATATTGGCTGTAGAGCTTACTTTAAAATTTAATTAATTAAAAAGTAATAAACTCAAAATGGATTAAAGACTTAAATGGGAGATCTGAAACCATACAACTAAAAGAAAACACAAGGAAGTAATCTCTTTGACATCAGACTCAGAAACATTTTTCTACATATGTCTCTTATAGTGAGGGAAACAAAATAAAAAATATTAGGACTACATCAAAATAAAAAGCTTTTATACAGCAAAGGAAATCATCAAAAAAATGAAAAGGCAACCTAACGATTGGAAAAGATATTTGCAAACAGTATACCTGATAAAGTGTTAGTATCCAAATTATATAACAACCCCAAAACTTCCCCAAGTAATCCAATTAAAAATGGGCAGAGGACATGAACAGATACTTTTCCAATGACATGGAGATAGCCAACAGACCCATGAAAAGATGCTCAACATCACTAATTATCGGGGAAATGCAAATCAAAACCACAATGAGATATCACCTTATACCTGTTAGAATGACTACTATCAAAAATACAAGAAATAACAAGTATTGGCAAGGATGTGGAGAAAAAGGAACCCTTGTGCACTGTTGGTCAGAATAAATTATACAGCCATTGTAGTAAACAGTATGCAGTTTCCTCAAAAAACTAAAAATAGAAAAACCCTATGATCCAGTAATCCTACTAGTATTTACCCAAAGAAAATGAAAACACTAATTCAATGGGGTGCCTGAGTGGCTCAGCTGGTTAAGTCAGACTCTTGATTTCAGCTCAGGTCATGATCTAGTGGTTCATGAAATCAAGCCCTGCAGCAGGCTCTGCGCTGCCAGCACAGAGCCTGCTTCGGATTCTCTCTCCTTCTCTCTCTGCCCTTCCCCAGCTCACACACAGTATGCTCTATCTCTAAATAAATAAATAAACATTAAAAAAAATTACCACTAATCTGAAAAGATTTACATACCCTTATGTTCATTGCAGCATTATTTATAAAAGTGAAGATATGTAAGCAACCTAAATGTCCATTGATAAATGAACAAAGATGTGGTGAGTCTGTGTATATCCATACACACACACACACACACACACACACACACACACACACACACACACACACACAAATGGAATATTACTTAGCCATAAAAAAAGAATGAGATCTTGCCATTTGTGACAACATAGATGGACCTAGAGGATATTATGCTAAGTGAAATAAGTCAGACAAAGAAAGTGTATGATTTAAGTTATACAGCATCTAAAAAACAAATGAACAACAACAAAAAAAACCCAGAAACAGACCCAGAGAACAAACTGGTGGTTGTTAGAGGGGTGGGGTGGGGATGAGAGAAAGGCAAAATAAATGAAGAGGAATGGCAGATACAGGCTTCTACTAATGTAATGAACATGGGAATAAAAACAGATAAAATGTACAGCATAGAGAATATAGTCAATGGTATTGTAATAGCTGTGCAGGCTGACAGATGGTATCTATACTTGTGGTGAGCATAGCATAATGTATACAGTTGTTGAATCACTGTTCTGTTGAATACACTAATATCACTGTTGAATACACCTAAAACTAATGTAATATTGTATGTCAACTATACTTTAATCAAAAAACAATAATACAGGGGCGCCTGGGTGGCGCAGTCGGTTGAGCTATACTTGTGGTGAGCATAGCATAATGTATACAGTTGTTGAATCACTGTTCTGTTGAATACACAATATCACTGTTGAATACACCTAAAACTAATGTAATATTGTATGTCAACTATACTTTAATCAAAAAACAATAATACAGGGGCGCCTGGGTGGCGCAGTCGGTTGAGCGTCCGACTTCAGCCAGGTCACGTTCTCGCGGTCCGGGAGTTCAAGCCCCGCGTCAGGCTCTGGGCTGATGGCTCAGAGCCTGGAGCCTGTTTCCGATTCTGTGTCTCCCTCTCTCTCTGCCCCTCCCCCGTTCATGCTCTGTCTCTCTCTGTCCCAAAAATAAATAAACGTTGAAAAAAAAATTTAATAAAAAAAAAACAATAATACAAAATAAAATATTTTTGCAAAGATTAAAAAATAATTAAGAGCAAATACATGCCTGGCTGGATCATCTAACCACTTTATCTAAATTAAATCATTTAACCCTCATGACAATCCTATTAGGTAGGTACTATTACTATCCCATTTCACAACTAAGAAAATTGAGGCACAAAGAAGTTAAAAAAACTTCCAAGGTCATACAAGTAGTAACAGATGGTCTGGGATTCAAACTTAAGCAGTGCAGTTCTAAAATTCCTACTCTGTACCACTTCACCCATTCTGATTGGTATAATAATCATTCATGTGTCATTTCATAAAGAATCCAGAATATTATCTCAAGCCAACATGTAAACACATTAACATTTACCTCTTCAAAAATAGCCCTTGAAAAATCCCCACAGCGTAATGTGCCATCATAGCTCAGTGAGAGTATGTGAGCCGGATTGGCAGGTGAGAAGTAAAGACAGCTAACTGGCTGACTGTGGGGTTGAAAAACATAAATTCCATCTTCTTCAGATTGGTGAGTCTGGAAGAGAGTTGAGGGCAGGGAGATAGACAAAAACTAGTGAAAAGTAGCAACACTTTCTGTCATTAAACTATTTATGTTTGTATTACATTCAGTCTTTTCTTAGTCTATAATTATACCCACCCTCCCATTCAGGAAGTCAGAACTAACAATGTCATATTATCACTAAATTACTTTTTTCTAATTTTTAATCCAATGATATTGTCACATTTATTTTAACCGTTTCCAGCTTTTGGAAACTACTTTTTCATAATGCAGAAGAGAAAAGAATTATAGTTTATTATGACTTTAGTTCATGAAATCTCAAGAAATGAGAAATCTACTCTTTATTTCACATTCAGCATAATTTCCTTCTACTAAAAACAGTATAACTACCATTACTACTTTGTCTCCTCAGTACGCTTCTATATATCATTCTCAGCACAATTTTCATAAGGTTATTTGGTCCTGGCACAAAGTGATAATTTTAAAAATACGTTATCCCCTAAATACACCATGAAAATGCATGTATTTCAATTCCACACTAATATTATTACTACTGGGGCTCCTGGGTAGCTCCATCAGTTGAACATCTGACTCTTGATTTCGGCTCAGGTCATGATCCCAGGGTCATGGGATCGAGCGCCACGTGGAACCCTGTGCTAAGTGTGGAGCCTACTTAAGATTCTCTGTCTGTCTCTCTCTCTCCCTCTGCCCCTCTCCCTGCTTGCTCTCTCTCTCTCTCTCTCTCTCTCTCAAAAAAAAAGAAAAAGTAATATTATTACTACTTCTAGGGATTATCCTTTTCACAGGTGGATTACCAACTACTAAATCATCACTTCTCAGATCTGGATAAATTATGTTACTATGCCATATGTCATAGTACGAACCAGAGCAACTATCCTCTCCAAATTTGGCTTAATCTGCTCTGAAATATTCAGGCATTTTTGTTTTCTTCTTTTTTTATTTTAAACTAAAACAAAGAATTTTTTAAAAGGAAAGGGAGGGAAAAAATTATAATCACATACACTCCTCCTCCTATCTAGAGTTAACCACTGTTAATATCCTCACATATTTGTTTATAGTGTTTATTTTTAGAACAAAACTCTCCATTGTTATAAATAACAATACAGAAATGTAGAAAGACAATAACTATTAAAAATTACTGCAAATCCGGGGCACCTGGGTGGCTCAGTCGGTTAAGCGTCCGACTTTGGCTCAGGTCATGATCTCACGGTTCGTGAGTTCGAGCCTCGCATCGGGCTCTGTGCTGACAGCTCAGAGCCTGGAGCCTGCTTCAGATTCTGTGTCTCCCTCTCTCTCTGCCCCTCCCCTGTTCATGCTCTGTCTCTCTCTGTCTCAAAAATAAATAAAAAACATTAAAAAAAATTAAAAAAAAATTACTGCAAATCCAAAATTAACTAAAATGATCATTAAAATACTAAGCTATCATTACAGATATCTCTGTATGTACTTAGACAAATAGAATGACAGAGAAGAAATTTAGAAAAAAATAAGACCATGCTATATATGCCATTTTTCATAGTATTAAATTAAACTATACTTCAAAGTAATAAAAGAAAATCAGGCTGAAGTAGTTTTTGAACTTCAAGCACAGCTGATCCTTGAACAAAGGGTTAAGAGCACCAACCCACCATGCAGTTGAAAATCCCATGTATAACATGTGACTACCCAAAAACTTAACTACTAATAGCCTACTGTTGACCAAGATCCTCAATAACACAGTGAACTAACATATTTTATAGGTTATGCATATTATATGCTGTACTTTTACAACACAGTAAGCTAGAGAAAAGAAATGTTAATAAAATCATAAGGAAAAGAAAATACATTCATAGTACTACACTTTTTTTCAATCCCACAAGTTTATGTCATCTGTTTATAAAATAAATCATCTGTCAGTACCTGTCAATATTATCTTATATGATACAAAACACTATAGATATTATATACATATTACTAACATGACATCAAAAATAAAAACATAATATGAAAATGAAATTCATATTTACGTACAGGTACAACAATTCATGCATTGATAATGAAGTGGCAATATGGTTGCTTTATGGTAGCCTAGTGTAATCAATACAGTTGCTTCACAGTAGCCTAGCCTGCCTATACACTAATGGATTAATCCCTATAAAATTTTTATGAGATCCAGTATTATAGTTATATTCACAATGCAATATTGGAAATACTTAAATTTTTTTAAAAATATCACTTACCTGTTTTAATAAGCTGATATGCAGTTGCTCCAATTACAAGAGAAAAAGGTATACTGTATGGTAATGTAACTCTTTGAAAGCAAAATTATAAAGAAGCTAACAAACTATTAATTTTATATTAAACAGTACTCACCTTATGCCTATGTAAGGATAGGCTATCAACTTCCATACAAGTCTTGCACATGATGTTCTACACAATGACTACTTGGGCAATGATGATGATAATGACACAAAAATGCTCATATATTTCTTGCTGTACAGTTCAAAGATTTTCACACAAAGAGACATGTAGGTATACAACAGATAAGTTTATTAATTGTACAGTAGGATAATTATTTACTAAGTGGAAGTGGACCATCATAAAGGTCTTCATCTCATCATCTTCACGTTAAATACGCTGAGGAAGAGGAGGGGCTCAGGGGTGATAGCAACAGAAGAGGTGGACGAGGTAATAGAGGTAGAAGGGGAGGCAGGAGAGGCAACACACTGAGTGTAACTTTATGGAATATATCGTAACTTCTGTCTGGCTTGTTTTTTCATTTCTCTAAAAAGGTTTCTATATTGTACCAATATTTCTTCCAACATTTGCTTTAGTTACAGTGCCCATACCATAGAAGGGTCCACATCATAAAAGAAGTCAAAAGCTGTCTTGAACAATTAGAATGCTTCTGCCAGATTGTCTAATGTCAATGTATTTCCTAGCACTGCTTCAATCATCTGGCACTGGTTCAGAAGCATTCCTCTCCATCAAGCACTCTTCTATTAATTCCTCTCATGGGGCATCTATTAGCTGTTGAATTCCTCCAAGATCCACATCCTGAAACCTTTCACACTAACCATTTTTGCCATAACCACAATCTCTGTCATCATTTCCTTGACTGTCTCTGTCATAAATCCTATGAAGTCATGTACAACATCTGGACACAGTTTTCTCCAGCAGAAATTTATTCTTTCAGGCTTGACTGTTTTCATGGCTTTTTCTGTCACAATAGTGGCATCTTCAATGGTGTTATCATTCTTGATTTTCAGACGTTTTTTCTGCTGGGGTTCTCTTGGTGGTGTAGACAATCTTTTCTACAGAGTACCATGTGTAATGAGCCTTCAAAGTCCTTAATGACCCCCTGATCTAGAGGCTGAATTAGAGACAGTGTTTGGGGGCAACATTTTGATGCCTTGGGTTCTGGGTAGCCAGGGACATTGCCCAACATCGAAAGAACTTTAAAAGGCAGTACCTTACTGGCAAGGTACTTCCTGACCTCAGGGACAAAGCATCGGTGATCCAGAAATGGGCTCTTGTTTCCAGGACCTCCTGTTGTACAGCCAAAAAACTGGCTGCTGGTATTTAACTTTTCCCCTTGAGGGTGGGGATTAGCAGCTTTATAGAGAACAGCAGTCCTGATCACAATGTATTTGAACAGTAGAGTTAGCCTATTCCTTTGTGCCTTAAATGTGGTGCTCCTTTCTCTTTCTTACTAATAAATGTCCTTTGTGGCTTTTTTTTTTTTCCAGAATGCACCTTCCTCTGCATTAGAAACCAGTTCAGGCAGATATTCTTTCTCAGTATTTTTCTTAATGGTGTCTGGGAACTTGTCTTCAGTCTTGGATCAGCAGAAGCTACTTCTCCTGTTATTCTAACATTTTTAAAGCCCAACTTCTTTCTAAAATTATCAAACCATCCTTTGCTGGCATTAAATTCTCCAGATTTCTATCTTTCACCTTCCATTTACTTTGCCATATGATGACTTCAATTTTCCTCGAGTCATATCAGTCTACAGGTATGCATTTCTTAGAGCAATCCTACACCCACATAAAAGCTGCATCTTCAGATAAAAGGTATTTTGCAAAAAGTACAAGGTTTTCACACTTGCTGGAATAGCTGCAGTAACAGCTTTACAATTTTTTTCTTTTTTTTTTTTTTTTTTTTTTTTTACAACAGTCCTTATGCTAGATTCATTTATCTTGAAATGCTGGGCAACTGCAGCTGCAGACCTCAATCTATAGCATTTATCAAGCAATTCAACTTTTTCCTGTACTCTCCTGAATATTCCCCAATTCTTGGGAGCACTTTCCAGAATCACTAGTGGTGCTTTGTAGGAGTCCTATGATGTTTTCCAAGGTGTACAGTATTGCACTAAACACAGTGAAAAATATGCAAGAACCCCAAGAGATCACTTTTTACTATGATACACATTTTACTAGAAAGATATAATGTTCACATGGAGATGATTAGCATTTTAACTAGATACTTGCTATAATTAAACTCACAATAGCAACAGGATAGCTAGGAAATCATTATTAGAGTAGTACAGCAGTACAGCAGTTAATTTTCCGCAGTTACTATTTAATACCACATCTTTATGTTTGTTTACATTTCTCTCGACTGTGAATGGCACCACATATGGTCTGCAAGTGTTGAAGTTTTAATAAATTTTAACTTCTTATACTACATTTGTGTATATTTTATAGTAGTGATAAAATAGACTAGTATCTACATATATGTTATACATTCATGACATACCTTTTTCTTTATCTTTTCAATATTTCTAAGCTATGTGGTTCATCTGAAAGTTTTTTCAAGTTATCGCAAATCTCCAAAAAAATTTCAATATATTTGATGAAAAAAAATCCATGTGTAAGTGGACCCACACAGTTCAAATTGTGTTAAGGGTCAAATGTATTTCTTTACAGGTGCTATTTCCTAAAAAGGACAAAGTAGAGGGGTTTGGGTGGCTCAGTCAGTTAAGCGTCTTTTTTTTAATTTTTTAAATATTTATTTAGAGAGATCACAAGTGGGGGAGGGGCAGAGAGAAGGAGAGACAGAATCCCAAGCAGCCTCCACAGCACCAGCGCAGAGCCCAATGCAGGGCTTGAACTCACAAACAGTGTGATCATGACCTGGGCTGACATCAAGAGTCAGACATTTAGGGGCACCTGGGTGGCGCAGTCGGTTAAGCGTCCGACTTCAGCCAGGTCACGATCTCGCGGTCTGTGAGTTCGAGCCCCGCGTCGGGCTCTGGGCTGATGGCTCAGAGCCTGGAGCCTGTTTCCGATTCTGTGTCTCCCTCTCTCTCTGCCCCTCCCCCGTTCATGCTCTGTCTCTATCCCAAAAATAAACGTTGAAAAAAAAAATTAAAAAAAAAAAAAAAGAGTCAGACATTTAACCAACTGTGCCACCTAGGCACCCCAGGCATCCAGCTCTTTGATTTTGACTCAAGTCATGAGATTAAGCCCCATGTGGGTTTCCATGCTGGGTGTGGAGCCCACTTGAGATTCTCTCTTTCCTGCTCTCTAGCCCTCACTTTCTTTCTTTTTCTTTTTTTTTTAAAGAGGTGGGGGAGTATAAAACATGAAGCAGGAGTAGTCATTATGCTTTCTTATTTTTTCAACTATGTTTCAATTTTAGATATTTTCTATTGATTGAGAGCATTATTTTCATCCCTTCTCCAATCTCCCCTGTCTCCATGTCTATATTATATACTATTATTTTTATTTTGTCCAGGTTGATAACATTTATATCCAGTTCTATAAACATAATTTGTATAGCTGTTTAAGATTAGTTCTGCATTTAAATGGATTCAATGCTCATCACCAATTCTTTTGTGAAACTTCTCTGTTCCTGAATTTTTAATCCTGATTTACTCTTAATTGGCTAAGACTTACTGTGAAGTGGTTTTTTTTCCAGATGAACTCCCAGGTCTTGAATTTCTTGAGTTTTTTCACATGTGAGAATACCTACCACCCTTAAATTAGAACAATTATCTTGGGCTGCTAAGTATTCCAGGCCACACTTTCTTCCCTCAGAACCTTGTAGACATTACATGAAATGTTGCTGTAGAAAACAGAAAAGCTAGACTTCTCCCCTTGAATATAATTTTTCTGCCTAAAGAATTCTTTACCCTCTATGTTCCAAGTTTTCCTAAAACATGGTATAACATTCAGTCTGCCAACTCAATTCTCTTTTCAGAAGAATTCTCTTTGGGGGCGCCTGGGTGGCTCAGTTGGTTCAGCATCCGACTTCCGCTTGGGTCACGATCTCACAGCTTGTGAGTTCGAGCCCTGCATGGGGCTCTGTGGTGACAGCTCAGAGCCTGGAGCCTGCTTCAGATTCTGTGCCTCCCTCTCTCTCTGCCCCAACCCACTCACTTTCTATCTCTGTCTCTCTCAAAAATAATAAACATTTTTAAAAATTTAAAAAAGAAGAATTCTCTTTGAATATATTTGCTGTTTCACTGTTGGGTCATCTTTGACGGTCTTCCCTTACCACTGGCTTGTCTGTGATTACCTCAAGTCTTTAATGTCTACAATTTTCAATGATGTCTATTCTGTTCCTTGCTTTTGTCTAATTTATTAGTTTCACTGATCTTCAGTTTGTTTCCTTAGTTCTGCAATATCCTTTTCCATCTCATTCTGCTGTTTTATCATCTTATCTTTAAGTATTATTTTACCAAATAATATTGTTATTAACTTGCTCCATAGCAGCACTGTCCAAAAAGAGCTTTCTAAGATAACAAAAATGTTATATGTATGCACTATCAACGTAGTATCCACTAGCCATGTATGGCTATTAGGCACTTGAAATAAGCCTGGTGTAACTGAAGAACTGAATTTTCTATTTTAATTGATTTAAATGTAAATAGTCTCTTAGGACCTGTAGCTACTATACAAAACAGTACAGTTCCACAATTTAGAGAAACTGAAGAGAATTTTCTTTCTTGCATTGAGTTATGTTTTTCTTCTAGACCTGTCTTTGCATGCTAGGTTCTTTTGTTGTTTTTGTAGTAGTGTTTGTCTAGTTGTCATATCATTTCTTTTCATTTTCATCATGCTTGAATTGCTCTGTCCATGTTAGATGCTCTGATATAACATATTGACTCTTCCTCCCAGTATCTGATCTGTTCATTTTTTCCTCAGAAAAAGACAGGCTTTTCTGTAGCCAAGAGGAAGACAGAGGTGGATAGTTGGTTTCAGCTGAAAGAATATGCAATATTTGTTGGAATTCCTAGACTGTAATAGACTTTTGTCCATTA